TGTACATGACAGGGTTAAAAATATCAAACTTTGCTAAATAGGTTGAAATGAAACATGTACACACAAGGGAGCTATGTTGGTTGGAATGGCCAATAGGTCTTGGACAGTAACCTAGGCTGGGTGTCCGAGGCAACTAGTGTAACTGTGTGGTCAGACTCGGTGCCTTGTTTGACTGTGTGTCATCATATCCCATACTCATAATATAAATCACAAGCTTGTTTGGTCCACACTGTCATATAGCTGTAATATTGCTAGTGTGGCGTTAAACAACAAACCTCACGAACGTAGTCACTCTAGATCAGATTGCAAACTAATACAACAATAAAGAACCCAGGCTAAAAATACGGAAGATGCCTTTCAAAGACTTCAAGGCAAAATAACAAAGAATCCCATTTAAGTATACCACATCAGGTCTCCATGATGTATAGGGGATACAGTCACTGAACATCACAATATATAATAATAAATGGCCATGTATATCATGTATATTGTGCATAGTTCCACACCACATGGGCATGCTCAAATTGCTATTATCACCCCAGTCACTGGATCAGTGTGCACTCAACAATCATTCTCCGCTCCCTGGGGAGTATACAACCCAAGCTGCCTGTTAGGCGCACAAAGGTTAACAACCTCATCCTGCCGGGTACCCATTCACTGCTGGGTGAACAGAGGCACATTTCAGACAGTCACTTGCCCAAGGAGACCACATGTGTTACATGTGCTTCAGTGTGGGGCAGAAACGTAGCCCGAGACTCCAAAATGGGTCACCAATCCGAGGTCTCTCCCAGACGAATACATACCAATACAATTTCAACTGGCATCACTTATCCTTAACCATAAGGAATATGTGAACTTTCATTACTGTCACAAGAACAAAATTTGACGAGGAATTATATTGTCAGGTAGGGTGGGACGGGTAACTCCGGAACTCAGTTCGGCTCAGTCCTGAGTTGGTCCCGGGTACCAACAGGACTACCTGGACTCGTGGTTACTCACATGATATATTATTTAATGAAAACAACTTACTATAGCTCAGTGGTTACATGACAAGTCACGAATGTTCCCATTTAATTCTGACAATGCGCACATTCCTTTTGACTTGTACAAGTTTGAGTAAAGATAAAGCTTTAATCAACTTCAGTGTACGCATGATCAGAACGTTTTATACATGTAACTAAATAGTTTTTGCCAGGGCTGCGGTTAAACAATTACCAATCAGACATTTTGTTCCCAACTCTTGAGACCTACAGTGGGTACCCGGGTAGGGTAGGGTAAAAGGGAGTCAGGTACCTGGGTAGTAAATTTGGACTTGTCCCAGCCCTTTTGTCATGTCTGTTTTAGATCACGAGGCACATTAAAATCATGTCTTTACAAAACACAGAAAGTGATGAATAATAATCAAAGAGCACAATCCAGTTCACCAACATTTTTCTCAATCATTGACAAGCTCCGACACTTGATGTACATTAAGACAACATTAATCAATAATTACATTCACTGATTTGTTACGGACAGTCATTTCAAAGTCACTAATTGATTCTGAAAACCACAACATTAAATCATCCAGGACAGTTTCCCAAAATGCTTCATAAAATATTGAACAAGATGACCTTAGTCTTTTCATTCAGACAAAACGTTTCAAACTAATAGCATTAAAACCATTTAACACGCTCATAACAGAATTGCTTGCAGCTTTTTTTTACATTACATTATAGATTTGGGAGATACCATTTATAGGATTATCATTCTCAAAGGGAAGCTGATTCACAATTAGGGAATCTGTTCCTGATTCATTCAATTTGGGTTTTCTCTCCACATGGCTTAACTCAAGGAAATTAATTTCTCTAGTCACTGTGATTAACCTGACCACCCAGAGGGGATTTTTTCCACGTCTGTGCATGGCTATAAACTTGATAAACACTGGTTGAAGGGGGAAGCTACTCTGACATTTTACTGAAGCAAGCTGATCTTCAGACATGTGAGTTTGTGGAGGCAGAGATGTGCTGTGGGGTTTTCTACAGACTGCAATCACTTCCTAGAACCCTCTTATCTCAAGTAAGGGGAGCGCGTAATCATCAAAACTGTTGCAACATAAACCACATTGCAGTTCCGAAATACTCTCCGATATGCACAGCAATACATCAAATTTTATATCTTTAGTTTGTTCCAGTCAGGTGAACTGGGAAAGTCAAAACAGAAAACAAATAAAAAGATTTGTGACTGAATAAGGTTTGTTTGACACTTAAAACCACACTAAACAATATTCCAGTGACATGATGGAGGTCGTTAAATAATCAATATTCCAGTGATTGATATTGAGAACAATGATTCACGTCGACGGGGTAGGACGTCACGCCAAGTCACCAAGCCTGTCCACCGATCTTTTTGGTCGCCTCTTATGACCAGCACAGGTTGCTAAGGACCTATTCTAACCTGGTATCCCCACAAGTTTTTTTTTATTAATTTACAAAGATATTGCATAGGTTTGAATGGTAAGGATTTAATATTTTGGCTTTATAAGGACTTTGGCAGGTATGCTTTTAATAAAATTACTGATTAATTTTTAAATATACAAACCTAACCAATTGTGTGGGCAAAGAAACATAAATGTCAAACTATTTTCAGATTATGTTGACTCAAAAAGTCCACCTAGGTGTGAGTGAGTGAGTGAACGTATAACCTTGTAGCAAGCATTACTTCTGCTAAATCAGGGTAACCTGCACATGTGTATAAAATATACAACCTTTTCTCCTAGCTGAACTACAATTATTGTCAATACATATTCACACTTGTTAAGGCTATATCAAGATTGAATTTTACAGTTGGGAATACAGCTAAAAATTTCAAAGCCTTCCAGTATTTGATAATCAGAAGAAATTGTTAAACATGGATGCCCACTTCAGCTTCCATGGCAAACATTTATCTACTACCATAACAACGCCGCCTTTACAAGTGATAGCAGCACTGCCATTACTGCTACCCATACAGGATCAAAAGAACGGCCTTCCCAAGTCAATCAAGTTCATGCCACATCAACCAGGCCTCCTCAAATATGCTGGCCCCTAGGCAAATGTCAGTTCAATTAGGCCGAGACCAGTAACATTTTTTCTTGTGTGTTGGGCGCATTTGTGTATCATGCACCCCCTACCTACCCACCCCATTCTTGGGTACAAGTTTCAGCAAAATTTGCTTTTTTGTATGTTGTGCACTGTCAAAATCTACAACGTATTGCTGCAGGTGAACGAACACAATGTGAAATTTGAGATAAAATATTACAAGAAATCATAATTTATAATTTCAATTGTATTTCTTGTTGTGCTAGGCATTGTATCATATGCAGACATTAAGATTACCATGTGTATTTTTCTCATAAAATATGCTAGAAATAGCAATCAGCTGTACACACATTTTCTCCCAGATCGACCGGTGATTCAGTTAAAAAGTACCCAAGGTTATAACCTAATAAAATTTTCATGCAATGATCGGAAGAAATTGGATCCAACTATTATTCAATAATAATATAGTCTAATGCCTTGTTATTTTAGTTTTATTACTTAAAAAAATATCCTTTAGAGTAGCAGTTTCGTATACATTGTTTACAAATGGGACAGTTTGATGAACCATTCTTAGAGGCTTCCTGTGGTCTAGCTTTTTCAATTGCAAAAACTATGCTAACTGTTTGATTGGTGAGTGAGTAAGAAAACGTATAACTTTATGGACAACAACAATATCATAGTCAAACAACAATGTTGACTTTTTATCAGTCAATTTATGTCATATATGAAATTCACTCTCTGACACCAAAGGATAGTTTCATGGCATCAGTAAGGGTGATCGAGGTTGTTGTAAATAACGGTCAGTTGATACGATGAGCTGATCGGTTGGTTGACACATGACTTTCCAAAATTAATATAAACCAAGATGACAAAACAAGTCCAGATATTCAATGGACAGGTCATAACCAGACAGTGTAGTTGTAGATAACAGGATTAACTTGCAAACTTCAGGGCGGATTTGTTGACATGCATTTCCAGTATTAGGTACCACTCACCATTCTCACGAGTAATGCTTTTGCGTCAGAAAAAAATAATCAAGAATAATTCTTTGCGTGTGTTATGTAATCTGCAAAGCTGCACTTTTGGAAAGAGTGCACACGATACACAACAAAACAGAGTACTTGATTTGTTTGCATGATCAGGGGGCGAGCTGATAAAAGAATGGTTGTTGCAGAACTATATATACTACTCAAAAGAAGTTAAGGAACACCCGATTCTTTCATATTACTATAGTTAATCTGTAATGCCATGACAGATTAACTTCTACAATTTGAAAGAACTGGGTGTTCCTTAACATCTTTTGTGCAGTATAGCATGTAGAGATACTATTTGCAAATGTTCATAAACCTTTCTGACTGATATCCAAATAAGTCTTAAAATAGCATGTTACTGTGTGTGTTCTACCATAAACAGTTCACAGTAAGTTCAACGGCACCATTTCATTTCAACTGTGTGACGATGGATTTCATTGTGCATGTGTTCTGGAATAGGAATATTTTGTTAGGTTTTACAGCATTAACTCGTACACATGTGATTTGTCTATGAGCACCCGGAGCCTTCCTTGGGGACACTAACATAAATTTTCTTACAAAGGCTTTTGTATATGCTGTCCACAATTGCTGACCAAATATTTTGAACTGTCTTTGTAACCATTGGATGTATCATTTAGACATTTATCTGAACATGAACAGATGCTGACTAGCCTCTCAGTGTTGTCCAGTTTCAGTTTTTCTCAGTCTCCCACATGAGTCTTTCCAACTTTCCAGATCATGAAGAACTGATTAAAGACTCACCTTTTCAAGGTCACTTCAATTGTCTGAACTGAAATCTTTCTTGTGCACTTCGAGCAAACATCGGAGCCTAGTTATGCACCTTATAAGTGGACTATTATTGTGATGATTATGATTATTATAAAATATGTATATCAAACTCTATACTCACCATAGCCAAAGAAGAAGTGCCGATAGTAATATGCTCCATAATCCACATATTCAATCACATGACCTTTGTGAGAGATAAGGGGAGGTAACACATGTCCAGAAGGGGCAGGTGAAGAGTCCAGCACAGCCACCCCACAACACGCAGGATGTCGATACCAAGACATTGCACTATGAACATGATTGCTGCTGCTGCCACCCTGCACACGCTTCTGGGCAGTCAGCTTCGTCAGACTCACAACCCTCTCCTCTTCACCACCGATCTCATTCCGGAAGAAAGGACACGACAACACAAGCTCATTGCTCTTGCCGTCCCCTTCATCGGTCCCAGCAATAATGTCTGGGTCGTCCTTGTCTCCTGCGTAACTGTTCCTGTTGAAGGAGGCAGCAGAAGCACCTGTGGCAGTGTTTTTCATAATCCCTGAATGATTCTTGTTCTTTATATCACTCAAATTCACACCAACACTCTGACAATCAAAGTGTGCCAGAGCTTTCCTTCTATACCGTTCCTCCGCCCTACCGTCATCGGGAAAGCTACAGTCTGTTTTCCCTGTGACATCAGCATCCGGCTTACCACCGAACACTTTCTTCAGAATGCCAGGATTACCATCAGTTATTGACTTAGCACGTGCTTTCCTATCCTTGAATTTTGATTTGTTTTTCCCTTTGGGACTATCACTAATTTCTTCTGACTCCTTGTCCATCATTGCAGCACCATTAAGAAAGCGTCCTTTGGCATCGGCCTTGCCACGAAGCACTTCCTGCAACTGGGGCGGAGCAGGACTTCTTTGATCTGGGTTCTCATTCTGGTAGCCCCTCAACATAGCAAAGAAGTTCTCTGTGCTAGTACCCAGCTGATCTAGGGAGGAGGTGCTACCATACTCCCGATGAATTGTTCCAGGCGGAAGGCCCTCTTCCACAACTTCCACTGTGTCCATCTCAAGGTTACTATTGCTTCGGTACAAACCACGACTAGTCCTTCGAGATGAGGAAGAGGATTTCTCTACAGGTTTTGGGGGAATTGAGGGTTTAGATGGTGTTTTGGTTTTATCTATGCTAAAATTTTGAGTTCGTGTTCTGTTCGTGTGACCATGAGGGCCATGGAACGTCCTTGCTCGACTTCTACCAGTTCCTATCCGCTCGCTCATCGAGCTACGCATATCAATAATTCCTGCTTTCATTTGAGCACGATAGAAGTTATTAGACGAGGCAGGTACAATCCCTGAATTCAAGGCATCCTCGGTGGAGGAGTGTGCATATCCTTCAAGATAATCCTTACGGTCTATGTTAGAATGGCTGCCGGAGTAACCCCCCGACCGACTGACACTTTTACTCGAGTATGTTGGTGCCACTTGTTGCTGGTAGTACTCCACTGCCTGCATGGCTCGCTCTCGGACAGTGTCAAGATCAGGCTTGTTTTGAAATGGCTGGTTTTTTGTAGCCATAATCTTGCACTAATGCGAAGAATTACACTTATGCTTGCCAATACTTGCCAAGTGATCTTCCTCCATGATAAATAACACAAAACAATCCTTGTTTTAAAAAAAGAAACTATTCAGAAGGATAACCCTTCCTGCATCTCATTTACATATATTGTTATCCATCCTTGGGAAGATCTTGTCTCATATAACCTTGAAGCAGAATCCTTATCTATAGATTTCACATTTTGTACAATCGTGATTCATCTCCACACAGAAGCAGACGACACACAAGCCTCCATTTCCTATTGGTGCTTGACCAGCTCTCATTGTCAGAGTGGGGTTACACAATTGTAACCAACAGTTTCCTGGCCTGCATTCAGAGTGACTCCGCCACCCTCCCACCATTCCCTTCAGCAAGATAAGGTCCCACAGACTTCACCTGCAACAGTAAGCAGATTAAATACATCAGATGCGTTTCCTGTCAGAGCTCCTCTCACTAGTGTCGACTGACACACTACATTCTGACCACTTAAAAGAGACATGGCCTTAATAGTTAATTAATTGCTTCTATATATAAAGTACGTGAGCCTATTCATAGAGGCTGCATACGAAATCAGATTAATTAATTTCGTCAAGGCAATATCATGGGATAAGGATTGGTATATGAAATGGATGCTTCAAGTCAATGATGTAATTAGTGTTCCTGTTTGGCATGTTTGTTGGCAGTGTAATAACATAAACATGGTGGTTTTCTACACAATGTGTTGTATATAGCAGTTATTACATGATGGGGCTTAAGTAGAAAGAGTAATTATAATAACCAAGATGGTTTTCGCCACAATGTATTGTATATAGCAGTTATTACATCATGGAAATAATGATGTAGTAACAGAAATAATGATAACCAGTTTTCCACACAACATATTGTATATAGCAGTTATCACATAGGGACTGTACAATACCTGTTATTTACACCAAATAAAACGTTTGTGACACCTCCATAATAATGAATTTCAGGGTATTTGTGTTCGTGATTTTTTGCTTCGTTTTTTTTTAGAATAGTTTTTCGGAATATATGAAAGTACACTTCTTCAAAGAAAAGACTACATTTCCTTGACCATGTTGAAGTATGTTGTTTCACAAAGTCCCATATGATGCAGAACTTGTTTGTTTTCAACCTAATGAAATACAATTACATGTAATTCACTAAGCCAAAACCAAATCAACCAATCACCAGCATACACATGTGTAGATCTGTAAGACTCTAATTAAACAAATAATATCACATATTCTCTGTCTATCAGTTTATAAAATACCATTAATTAAAACATGTCATTTATTAAAACAAAACACAAACTTAATCATGTCCCATATTTTCTGAAAAGAAAAATACAGAAAGAACAAATAAGAATTTCATCTCAAACTTATGTAGAGATCATTCAAAACCATATTTAAAGAAATCCAGGAATAAGAAAGAGTTTCATATTTGAAATATACTGTTTGTGAAAGCAGCATCAAAAGAAATCTATCAGGGCCAAAAAATACAATGACATAACACACAAACAGCAAACATTCTCTTCCACATTACAACATAAAATGTCAATGCCAAAAATAACCAGTCTTGATTATCTGCCGAAATAAGATTCCATTAGGCTCAAAAGACAAGATAGTGGTGAAAATTGTATGAATCGATCCCTGAAAGTCCCTGAAAAAGGGCAAGCATGTCCTACTATACCAAAAGCACCCGCCACTCACAAAGTTTGCATAAAAAATTAAGTGTTTGTTTGCTGCATAACACCGCACAGCACTTCTCCTGCCATATAACGATGGCGGCCTGTAAAAAATCGAGTCCTGACCAGACAATCCAGTGACACAATAGCACACTCACTGATTTTGTTGAAACTACAAACCAAAGGTTAATCTTGAATAATGTCTACCACGTACAAGTGCAGACATTCTGCAGCATAAAAGTAAGAGAAACACTTTGGACTATTTGTAAATTAGGGAACATTGAGATTTCAATCAAGTTTTAACTGTAAAGTTGCCAACATAAATCCTATTTCGCTCTAATCACATCACAGAATACCTCGCGTCTGACTCATCCTCTTCTGAGGTGGACTCAAGCCCTGATTAGCTGTTGCGCTGTCAACATTGACCACGATAAATGTCCAATCAGAGCCTCACGCTGAATCAATAGAGATGCTAATTCTGACAAATTTAGCAGGGATTCTGACACGACACAAACCATTCTGGAAATGAAATAAGAAAAACTTCCTTGATCAGTATGTGAGATGTTTCGATAAACAGTGAGTCTTCTTAACATTCATTCCAAGCAGGGACTTCACAGAAAACCTCTCAAGCTTCAGTAATTAAACCATCCAACTTTTTTCTCTGTGTATGCAAACTTGAATTTCCCAAATCTAAAGGATTTGAATTCTGAAATTCTCTTTAAACCTTCCTCATGTATAAACACATACGCTTCTCAACATATGCTATCATGCATATATTCATCACTTAGTAACGAGCAGTCTATGAAAGGCTTTATCTGTCTTGGAGAAGTTCCTCATCAAAAAGCAGCGAGATCAAAATGGAGAACTTGTCTGCAGCTCCACAATCTTGAAGGGTCTTTCGTAATCTTCCCCTGACAACTCTTCAACCGCATCAAGACCAACAAACACATGTGCAACTATTTCTCCCAATATTCCCTTGATGGCATAAAAAGATTTACACTTCTAATTGGTATTCTCTCCAATACTCTTGGATTCCATTTTTTGTTAAATCTGTCCAAATTTCATACTGATATATATCCAATAATATCACTGTGAAGAGTGAGAAGTTTTACTTTTCATCCAACACTGTTTCAAGTGTGAGATATTATCATTCAAAGTTGAAATAAAAGTAATTGATTTTAGCCATGAAACCAATTACAGTTTTATAAGATTCTCCAGTTGGAGGCAGGGCATGAAATTGAGTGAAAATATTGACAGATATAAAATTGATTGCCTCCAACTGAGTGAAATATTGTTCTGATTCTTACATGTAATTACTTCAAACCTGAATGAGATTGGTTAGAATTTTGGTGAAAAATTGCAAAATTAAAATAACATGAAAATGAAAGTCATGATGATGATATATTACCAATACAGTATCAGGAGTTGACATTGCATGAATTGACCACACAGCTGATCATATTTAAATGTAAGTACTTTGGGGGAAAAATAGCAATCTCATCAAATTGAGGAGGTAACAGTATTCCAGTTATATCGCGGTGTGTCAGCTTAATGTGGGAGGAAAGCCCGAAGTGATGCAGGTCTCAGACGTTTACCACTTCGGTGAAACCCACGAGCATGGGTATGGTGTTGACAAACCTAGAAACATAATCGGGGCGAACCGTGATTCGAACCCACAATCATAGGTTTCTGGCGTGCCCAAGGGACGCAACTCTGCACAGCGAATCGCGGCGCCTTAGACGACTGGGCCACCTGTGCCCCCTGAGGAGGATGAAGATGAGGATGAAGATGAATATGACGATAAACTACCATATCCAGGGCAAACACCATGTACATAAGCCCACTATGCCATAACTCATTTTTGAACTTTTATGACATTTTTTTAGTGAAAATGCACCGTGGTATATTCTGTATGTTGTAGACCAGACAAGCTTACCTTTTTCGTGAACACCTGGTGTCCTCAATGGTTTTCAGTGATCCATTCATATAATTGTCACTGCTTCTTAATTTATTTTTACGCCCAATGGAAACTGCTTCGTCAGATAATCAAGGCTGGTTATTCTGACATTGACATTAAATATTTACAGGCTGTGAGTAAGTATGGGGACAAAATAACGCTCCCTACAAGTTTTCGACATTGGGGATGGTGGAAGAGGAATGAACTTTTTCATATATAGAGGATATTATATTCATGTTCATGTCATAGTATGTTTACAACACGAGTGTCGTAAACAGAGTATGACATGAACACGAATAAAATGTTCTATTTATTACTGAAGAAGATGTCTACATACAGAGACAGATTTTAGTGTTTGCCTATAAGGACAGCAGGTGGCAACAGCAGCGGAACCACAATTTGTTGAATGACGTCAACAATCTTCAGCTATGACTCCGTTGCGAGTGTGACGTCATTCCGACCTCATGCCACAATATGATTTGAATGACGTCAACAATTCCGTCCGGATGGCGGAAACAATACACTGTTGTCTCGTTACGTGATATGACCCTAGGGCACATGTGTTTTTTTTGAACCCCAATATGCTTGCCTTCGTAGGTAATAAATCAATATCTTAGTCACACTGAAATTAGATATTTCCAAATTATTGTTTAAAACTTTTTTTCATTAAGTTTTATTTTTTTCCTTAAAAGATTGCGACAGTTATATTTTCTACAAACATTAACTTTTCAATGTATGCAATAATTTACTGTGGCAGATATCTCCCAATATAATTGCAGAATCTTCCCAACTATAGAAGAAGAATATGACATTCACTGTTGATGGAACAAGACAGAAAGTAAACATTCTCTCCATAGACCACATGACATTATGTTGTCTTTTACTCAAAGAAATGCCTTTGTTTTTTAAGACAATTCCAGGCCTTTCCTTTTCCTGCCCAAGGTGATTTGAATTACCCACACAAACAAAGAAACCTGTTTCAATTTTAGTATTCTTGCCAACAGGTGACTTTTTTGTCTGAAAAAGGATGGCATGGTATTCTCGACCACCGCACGTTAAATCATGCACGGGATGAGAATGAATGCTTACAGGATGAGTTGTGGTTGCAATAGATGAGATTTCCATTTAATAGACACATCAACACATCACTGTCGGCTGATGGGGAATCAACAAGCTGCCTACCTTCAGTGCACAACAGAGGCTTTACTGTGGAACTCGTGGCCGATTTGTAGTCCAGGTTATTACCCGCAATTCATAGTTCCATGAAACACCTGTGAAAGACAAACCTGTGTGGGTCAAACACTGCATAAACTGTCATTTGAGAGTCTTGTGAGGGAGGGTGGGGGTCTCGAGGGGAGGGTGAGGATGTAAACACTCTTCATGTTGATATACTGACAGAAGAGATGGCATGTGGGTCTTAATGAGTGGGTGTTGTTATCAGTGTTAATAAATTACAGAGTATGAAAAGTGCCAGATTATAGGTGTTAATGGATGCAGGATGTGTGATGTTGGAATCCACAGATGTGTCAGTCAACAGGTGGGATAAACACCATAGGTGATATTACAGAAGGTGTTTGTCAGGGAAAATGAAAAGGATAGTATTTCTGAAAATGATGTAAAACTTTGAGTGAGTGAGTGAGTGAGTGAGTGAGTGAGTGAGTGAGTGAGTGAGTGAGTGAGTGAGAGTCATGATGCTTTTAGCAGCACTGCAGAGATATGGCAGGGAGCACAAAGAACAGGCTCCAACAACATTGGAAACTCTCACACAAGTTTTGTTTGTTTGTTTGTTGTTTAACGCCGCACTCAGCAATATTCCAGCTATATGAAGGCGGTCTGTAAAATAATCGAGTCTGGACCAGACAATCCATTGATTGACATCATGAGCATCGATCCACGCAATTGGGATATAATGACATGCATCAACCAAGTCAGTGAGCCTGACCACCCGATCCCATTAGTCGCTTTTTACGACAAGCATAGTCGCCTTTTACAGCAAGCATTGGTTGCTGAAGACCTATTCTACCCTGGATCTTCACGGGTCAACAATATAATTGAAATATCCAATATTGAATGATGAGGATAAGGGCTACAGATAGTAAATTAGTAAATTTGTTAAATTCATGAGTCTAAAAAATAATAATGCAATATTGATGTAATGTATCTTAAGTTTGTGGAATTAACTTTGAGAAACATCATTCATTGTTTGTAATATTATTTCTGTGTTTAACATAGATCATGAGCCAAATATGTGAACAGCTTCTGTTCTTAAACATAATGTTTCACAAACAAAACTTCTCACAGCTTTGACAAGAATCCTAATCCCATGGTTTACTGCTGAACCAGACCAAGGTTCCACCATTGCGAGCCTCACTGTGAGGGTGTATACATAGATTTATACCACATGGGAGAGGGAGTAAGGATATTGCAGGTGGGGCAGCACATCGCAGCCATAGCACTTTCTCACACTGTTGTGTCATTCACACCACCCCCACTCAAAGCCAAACAGATATACATTACATTTCAAATCTCAACCCACACTACCATCTTTTATGATGGCCACTTGTGGTAGGCTGTTAAATGCAGCTATATGCATAAATCTTGCAAAGGTCCCGATAACCCTCCTTTTTGGTTCCTCAACAAGTTTTTATTTTCTTATCAATATCTAAACACTCCTGTTGCATCCCAGCCCTACCTAGACAGTCAACCCTGTTGAACAAAGTTCCACTGTTACAAGCAAAGCAGCCTCTGAATCTGAAGGTGAAGCATGGATACTACCCTTGCTCCAAGGCTGTATTGAAAGAAAAGTCCATGGATGTGTAGTAATTCTATCCTCCTAATAGGCGGGTCTAGATATATGGATAGTACAAAAAAGGACTTCAGTTTCTTATAGGGACAACTTGTTCTTATTATCACATAGTCAAGAAGTTATGATTTAAACTAATAATTACTGCCTTAGAGACTTGTGCAAGTCCACATGGATACACATAGAACACAACAATAAGTGCACTTCTCAGGAACTGGGTTTGCGATAACCAAGAAAACATAAATGGTCTATTTCTGTCTCACCAATTAATGTTTATATTACATGGGTACACGGAGGAGGGATAACATTAATAAACCAAGCTGACATTGCTATCACATCCACAACAAGCCTGCAGTGCTAGATGACATCATGGACAATTTATTATCATTCATGTAAGAAATCACGTAAATATTTAGCTATCTTATCTATGAATTGCAATTCTGTTTATACAAAATTGGGAGAAACGCTTTGGTATGTTCTCCGCCTACACATGCAACAAAATTCCATTGCACCATACATTAGCCAACATCCAGCAAGAAAGTCCACCCACGACTGGCTGTTAAAGAACATGCTGAGCGTTTCCTTCATATCTTGGACCTGAATCATTCCAACACACTTTCCCACCCACTGGGTACAAAACTGCCTCCAACCAACAAAACCTAGACACACTGGATGCACTTTCAGTACCCTCCATACACTCTCTTACCCCTATCCCACCCCAAAACCCTAGACACACAAGATGCACTTTCAGTACCCTCCATACATTATCTTACCCCTACCCCTATCCCCTACCCCTACCCCAAACCCTAGACACACTGGGTGCACTTTCAGTACCCTACATACACTCTCTTACCACTACCCCTATCCCACCACCAAACCCTAGACACACTGGATGCACTTTCAGTACCCTACATACACTCTCTTACCCCTACCCCTATCCCACCCCCAAACCCTAGACACACTGGATGCACTTTCAGTACCCTCCATACACTCTCTTACCCCTACCCCTATCCCACCCCCAAACCCTAGACACACTGGATGCACTTTCAGTACCCTACATACACTCTCTTACCCCTACCCCTATCCCACCCCCAAACCCTAGACACACTGGATGCACTTTCAGTACCCTACATACACTCTCTTACCCCTACCCCTATCCCACCCCCAAACCCTAGACACACTGGATGCACTTTCAGTACCCTCCATACACTCTCTTACCCCTACCCCTATCCCACCCCCAAACTCTAGACACACTGGATGCACTTTCAGTACCCTCCATACACTCTCTTACCCCTACCCCTATCCCACCCCCAAACTCTAGACACACTGGATGCACTTTCAGTACCCTACATACACTCTCTTACCCCTACCCCTATCCCACCCCCAAACCCTAGACACACTAGATGCACTTTCAGTACCCTACATACACTCTCTTACCCCTACCCCTATCCCACCCCCAAACCCTAGACACACTGGATGCACTTTCAGTACCCTCCATACACTCTCTTACCCCTACCCCTATCCCACCCCCAAACTCTAGACACACTGGATGCACTTTCAGTACCCTCCATACACTCTCTTACCCTTACTCTTACTTACCCTTACCTTGGTACTAGTGGAAGACAAACATCTAGTCACTGAAAAGAACATATTTTATAGAAAAAAAACCCCCACTTATTAAATTATCTTAAAAAAATATTTTAAAAAGGATCCCAGAGATTCTCTTCATTAAACTGCAGTAATCTAGACTTGCCCACTATTATAGACTTGCATGGGCTGTATTGGGTATATTTGTCTCAGGGTCTGTATGACAGACTAACACACTGGATGCACCTTCAATACCTTCTAGATGTTACCTCACACAATCATACACATTTCATACACAATCATACACTTTCCCACACACAGTGTCTGAAGAACACTCGATACCCTCTCTCTCCTCCCCTAGCTTCACACACTGGAAATACTCATACACAAGACATCCTCCCAACTTCCAAAATGGTTGCCCCCATCTAGAAACGCAGTAATGCCCATGACTTCTCCGATGGTCTGGCATTGCCTTGATTAGACACATAAACTACCTGGAAGTTACATGTAACACTCGATACCCTCTCTCTCCTCCCCTAGCTTCACACACTGGAAATACTCATACACAAGACATCCTCCCAACTTCCAAAATGGTTGCCCCCATCTAGAAACGCAGTAATGCCCATGACTTCTCCGATGGTCTGGCATTGCCTTGATTAGACACATAAACTACCTGGAAGTTACATGTAACACTCGATACCCTCTCTCTCCTCCCCTAGCTTCACACACTGGAAATACTCATACACAAGACATCCTCCCAACTTCCAAAATGGTTGCCCCCATCTAGAAACGCAGTAATGCCCATCACTTCTCCCATGGTCTGGCATTGCCTTGATTAGACACATAAACTACCTGGAAGTTACATGTAACACTCGATACCCTCTCTCTCTCCTCCCCTAGCTTCACACACTGGAAATACTCATACACAAGACATCCTCCCAACTTCCAAAATGGTTGCCCCCATCTAGAAACGCAGTAATGCCCATCACTTCTCCCATGGTCTGGCATTGCCTTGATTAGACACATAAACTACCTGGAAGTTACATGTAAGTTGCTCCACACAAAGTAACACGCTACTCCCATCATCTACATAATCAAGATTACCAGATAATAAACAAGCAAGTGTCATCACCTCCAAGGATGCAGACAACCATCCCAGATCTGCCTTGTTTACGATATGCAGGACTATCAAATAGATACCATCAAAACATAAAGAAGAAATAAGGAAAACGTATCAGCTACTTGGTAACGTGTTTAAAACACATCACGCATGGCACAAACATATGCACACCTTGAAGTTTAACTCGTTCCACCATATGCCGTGTCAGCAACATCAACACTAAGTTACCTGTTTCTAAGCAATATGGAATGCTGGAGATTATAAATACACATGGAGCCGAAGAACGGTCCTTATAGAAGATGATTTCTACAACCAGTGATACATTACAAGTTGACCTTAACAGCCGGAGTGAGTGAGTGCTTTGTGTTTTTTCACAACAGTGATTTGTTTGTTTGTTGTTTAATGCAAAAGTCAGCAGTACTCAAGCTATATGCCATCAGTTTGTAAATACTCATGTTTGGACCAGGTCCAGTGATTGATATCATGAGCATCGATCTATGCAATTAGGTTACAATGACATGCATCAACCAAGTCAGCAAGCCTGACCAGCCAATCCCGTTAGTTTCCAACTCTAGCCCGGGTCTTCACTGTGGTATGCAACAGTGAAACCCATTAGCAGGGGTTTGGTGCTGGATGAGGGTATAATCAATGTGTATCTGGGATTTGAACCACCCTCAGCTGATCCGGTACAGGGATCTACAGTGACTTAGACCTCTGAGCAACTGGTACAGAACATTCCTTTTCCTTTGACACAGAGTGCA